TATGCAGAGTAACTATTTAGTCCCAACAAGTTTGACATTGATGCCAGCCTTATCATGTATTTGTGTGCAGGAGCCTCTAAAGCTTGATATTGTTATAAGTTTTCCAGATCATGGCTTCCATCTCAGTTTTGACCCTTGGTGTTTCAATTCGCACTCACACACATCATTATAAACCCTTTTTCATTTTATTTCTTCAACTTGATTTCCTTAATTTTACTATTGTTTTGATTTTGGATTCTGAGCTAGAGGTTACGCCTTATTGAAATGTTTGATATCAAACGTCTCCAAATGCGCTATGCCACTTCTTTGATAGGGTAAAGTTAATCCCCTAAGATTTATTTCCACATTTCAAAATTGTATGTTTTGATGTTGAACCTGGTTCCGCCTGCAGGGGACCTTCTACACTTGCTACCTTTGTTGCTGTCTACGCACTTTTTGGTCCAACCTATCCGGGAACTTATGACAAGGATAGAGGCATTTATGCCCTATTCTACCCAGTAAGTGCCTTTTTACTTGATTGTGAAACTGCTTTTTTATTATGGGTTTCCAAATATTTTGTCTCCAAGTCTGCAGTTTCTTATCTTGTTATTTTGCAGGGTCTTTCATTTGCTTTTCCTATTCCAAGTCAGTATTCAGATTGCTGTCATGACGGAGAAGGTTTTTATTTGTTTCTCCTGATTACTTGTCACACCTACTCTACAGCCCTCAACTCCTAATTAATTTTGCTCTTTTACTTGACAGCGGAATTGCCTTTGGAATTTCCTGATGGAACCACCCCAGTTACCTGCCGTGTATCCATCTACGATAGTTCTACAGGCAAAAAAGTTGGTGTTGGATCCTTAATGGATAAGGCACCTGCTCCTCCATTACCAACTGGAAGCCTTTACATGGAAGAGGTGCATGCCAAGGTTTGACTTCTACCTTCCTTTGTCCTGTTGTTAATGAGTCAGCTATCTCATTTTGGTATCTCAACACCTTTCTACTTTCCATCCTTCTAGAGTCAATTTTTGGATTACGTGTAATATGATGTCTTTTGAGTTTGATATTTGGATTGACCTAATTGTTTCCTTCAGCGACATCTAAAGTATCAGTGGTCGCTTAATCTGGAGACTAACATTTTGATTCCCATGTCTATATTTCCAGCTCGGGGAAGAATTATTTTTCACTGTTGGGGGCCAGCATATTCCCTTTGGTGCATCACCACAGGTAAATATCAAATTGATTTCTTGAGATTAAGCTTTATTTACTTTTCCCTTCTAGGGAATCATTTTTTCTCTTCTTGTGGGTTAGTACTAATTTTATGATTTTCCCTTCCATGCAGGACTTCTGGTCTGAATTAGGTCGTCCTTGTGGAATCCATCAAAAGCAGGTAATAATGATGCACAGAAACTTTGAAATGTGCTATGGGATTTTTACAATGGTTATGCACAATATGTTTTCACCTACAGAGTTGCTGCATTAGACACTACATTTCTTTTAATTGATGCTTTTTCTAGTTGCTATTTTCTTTTTTGAGTACAAAATAAAAAGCTAAAACTAGAGCAAACAGAAAAAGGCAGAAGCAAAAGCATTTGCCAAACATGAAGCCTAGTAATTAGGCATGATATGTATTTTCTTAGTTGCATTCAGTTATGGTGTGAAAGGGTTTTCAATTTCTTGTATGGCAACGTTTTATGCATGATTTTTTTAAATGTTACCCTCATGGCACTAATTATTTTGTCAACAGGTTGACCAAATGGTTATTCACTCTGCTTCTGATCCTCGTCCTCGGACAACACTTTGTGCCGATTATTTCTACAATTATTTTACTCGTGGCTTGGACATCTTATTTGATGGTCAGGTACTCGTAATACCCTCAAAATGAAGGAACCTTCCTACATTGTTTTGATTCCTACATGGTTGAGTAAGAAAGCATTTAGATATATTTCCGGCTAATATTCCTATGTTATCTACATCTACTAACATTGTAATCTTGGAATTAATGTTGTCCATAAATTCTTAGAATGTTTTTTTGATTTTGCAGGCTCATAAAGTCAAGAAGTTTGTTTTACACACAAACTATCCTGGTCATGCAGATTTCAATTCATTCATCAAGTGCAATTTTGTTATCATAGGTTCTGACAATCCCCCTTTTTCAGCATTTTATTATAAATATTGGCGAGGGTGATTGATCTATTATTTTTGTTTCTTGCCCGCAGTTTGGGGGTCCTTCCCAGATGTAAACAACTACAAAAACCGAATTACTCCAAGCACCAAGTGGGAGCAGGTCAAGGTAACTTTTTATAGTTGGACACGTCCTGATATTTTTCCTTAACATCAACCTCTCTTTTTGCCTGGTGCCTTCACTGGCCGTGTTTCATTCCTATGTTGTCACTAAGAATGATAACTTTATCGCAGGAAATCCTTGGTGACTGTGGCCGTGCGGCTATTCAAACACAAGGTTCTACCAGCAATCCTTTCGGCTCTACTTTTGTATATGGTTACCAGAATGCTGCCTTTGAGGTAAAAGTTTGTTAAATTCCCCGATTGATTTGCTTTTTAGCATTTGGCATAACTCATATTTTGGTAATATTTACTCTTAGAGGTATAGTGAAAGGATTGCTAATATAGATCTTTTGCTATTAGCAGGTTATGAAAAATGGCTATATTGCAACGGTGACTCTTTTCCAGTCTTGACAAGCCATCTCTTGGCCGATAGGTTGTTCTTCCGCATCCGAAAGTGGATTATGCTTAATCATTGATGGACAAGTAAAATTTATAAACAATATGGGGAGGTAACAATAATTGTACAGTAATTTATTTATTTGTATAGTTGATTCGTGCTGTAGCATACATTAGCCATGTATATTCTGTAATTATTCCTCCTGTGAGGATACTACATTGTTTCTCACCTTTGCTTAAATTGCCTTTGCATTAGCTATCTAAGAGGATACTGAATTATTCTTGGCCTTATTTTTGTATAAGGTTGCCATCCAGTAACTGCATCAACTTTACAACTTGATTTATAAACTGCAGAATCTTCTTCAACGCTTACCCAGACAATTTGTTTGTGTGTTTATATCGGTAGGACACGTGCTTAATTGGAACAACCAATCTTTGCTCTCAAGACATTTGACAATTTATGTCCAATGTGTCAATTTGTGAGCTTATTGTGTCTGAGCGTTTGTTTATTTAGCTGGGAATACCCTAGACTTGTAGTTGTCAGAAGTCGTCAGATCTCTTGACTATGTGACCATTTATATCACAGGTCCGAGTGGCTTAAGAGTCGGACCTTTCTCCAGCCTTCAGTTTCTGCGGTGAGGTGCCACTCTGTTGCTTCCTCTGGACTCGACGTGCATGCTAATTCATATGTCGAAGAGCTTGTCAAGACTGCTGTAAATATTATATATTTGTAAAATCTTCCACAATTTGCTTAAAATATGCCAACACTAGAAAAAGAAATGGTATTATAAGCTTTTAACAATTTTCGGAAGAAACAATGATTTTACTATTACGGGTTTGTTGGGATGTTTGTAGAAAACTATTGCTTTTCGAGGCCGTGGAATTTTGGCCATGGATGATTCCAACGATACCTGTGGGAACCGTTCGGCCTCAATTGGGCTAGAGAACACAGAAGCTAACAGTAAAGCCTATAGGACATTTCTTGTTTCTGCTCCTGGACCAGGCAGTACATCTCAGGTGCCATCCTCTTTGAGGGAAGCCTTTACCAGTACACGATCGATGGTAAGAAGATGCTCAATGTTCTTGTTGAGCAGAACATAGTCCTGGTATCAGGGTCGACTTGGTAAAGTCTCATCTCCCATTTGTGGGAGCAATTCCCACTATGTAGTTCGAATTTATTGCCAAGTACTATCTATAGTAAGTGCTCGATAATATGAATACTGCAGGGTCTTGTTCCGCTGGCTGGCTGAAACAATGATTCATGGTGTCGAGGTCTTGATGGCCTCGCCTCATGTTCTGCTACATTCTACCAACAGGGAGCTAAATTTTTTGAAATGGTAAAACTTATCCCATTTCCCACTTCATGTTCAACTATTTTAAGTTGCTTTCCATAATATTTATGTTACTATCGGTATTTATAGACTTACTGTTGTGAGCATTCCCAATGGACCATGAACTTGCTGTGAAGGAAGCAGCTTGAAGACTCGTTCGCTACACTGCTGTCTCTGAGGTTTGAATATGAGGGTGTAATCTTATTACAATACTGTCTTTATTACATTATTGCATTGCATGATGTTTTGATGTTTGGCCATGCATGACAATGGTTTGGTTCGAATTGTTGAGCCAGAGATCTTGCTTGATGGTAATCACCGAATCGGCAGGACTTTCGAAGTAGCCAAAAAGGTGTGGGCTGAGATTTTCTCCTATCTTGCTCAGAACAATGTGATGTTTGAAGGTATCCTCCTCAAGCAAAGCATGGTCACTCCTGGTGCAGAGTGCAAGTACCGAGCTACTCCCGAACAGGTTTCTAGGTACACCCTCAGCCTCCTCCGCCAAAGAATCCCTCCAGCTGTGCCTGGAATCATGGTAATTGACTGTAAGCCTGCAAGTTTTTTTAACAGGTGCTGAGACGAAACTCAGCAGCTAATGATTATTATTAGTATTATTATTTTTTTATTCATCGGCAGCAAATGATTAATCTGTCTTGGTTTCGGCAGTTTTTGTCCGGTGGAAGTTTGAAGTTGAGGCTACCTCGAACTTGAATGCAATGTATCAAGCACCAAATCCATGGAATGTGTCATTCTCATACGCAAGAGCGCTTCAAAATACTTGCCCGAAGACCTGGGGAGGCAGACCTGAGAACGTGGAGGAGGCTCAGGAAGCACTGCTTGTTCGGGCAAAGGCCAATTCTCTTGCTCAACTTGGAAAGTACACAGGCAAGGCGAGGGAGAGTCTGAGGAGGCCAAGCAAGGAATGTTCGTCAAGGGTTATGCTTACTAAGCTGTTTTAAATCAAATCCATAGAAGAAAACAATGATAAAATTATAAATCATGTATAATTTACGATGCTGTTATCCTCACAACTAATGGGCCATAAATTTGCCTATATCAATAACATGCAGCATCAACAGCTTTATAAATCTCTTGCTTTAAAAATTCTAATACTGAGAGTCACACTTCTATTAGATAATTGTTGTATAATCTTGCAAAAGAATACCAAGCACATGCCTTACAGCACCGGACACCGCCGGTAAACAAGCCAGGTTTACTGTTTCTGAATATTTCAAGTGTCCATTTAAATCCATACCAGTTAACATGAAGGGGATACAAGAAGAGATAACCAACTGTAAGCACAGTCGATTACTGAAGTTTGACCGTACAGTTCTGAGAATTACCTAAAATAAGGGATCCTCGTGTCATTCAAAAATTCGGTATTTTTCATGTTTGTTATAACCATGTAATCTTTGTGTCATATATGTGATAAAGGTGAATCTTTGATTATCTGGGTATATAACATTACTCTCTAAGCATTGATCTCAACCATCATCAATTATTCCCACCTGCTTTGAGAAGTCATACAAAAAGAACTGTTTTCACTATGCAATTTCAATCATTACAAACAAAACTTAAGAAAGAATGACAGGTTACAGATCATTTCTTGGCACTAGATGCGGATTACATTCTTTTTCCTTGCAGTACGAGGCTCGAAAGCTCTCTGGAAACTGGTTTAAACAACTAAGCTAAGGATATTGAAGCAAAGGAGATGATAGGTTGACCAGCGACGGCAAGAACTCCCCCAAACTCTGGCTTCGAAATAAAATTTAACCAATTGAAACCATGTCTCGTGATCAATAATCATCATCACTTTTGATGAGAAAAATGAATTATTGTTTCAGATATCAAAACAGGCATCAAGGGTCAATATGTAAGCTTAAGAACAATCTAATGTATAGACTATAGTTTTACTCATATGTCAACAAAATGAACTAAATCGAACAAATGCACTAGCAATGAAATAATTATATAGTTCAGATGGGCTGTGCATGAACTTAGAGGGAGAGTTTTGAGTGTTGTACATTTACAAATTGCTTGGAATGCATTACATACGGCGGAAAAAGAAATGCTTCCTTTTTGGATATTTAAACAAAATAACTTTATCAAAAGTTAAAGAGGAACTCATTATATAGGTATGTCTATTTCATGCATCAAAACAAAGGCATGATCATTGCACATGCAAAACGAAAATTGGATGTTGAAAGAACAAGATAATGGTGACAACAGTTCCAACCTGATTGTTTGAGGCTTGCTCATGCATTCGATGAGGCTTCATATTCAAATCTAGTTTAGTATCAGTCTTGAGATCTTTAGCACCCATCACTTGAGCAGGAGAGACCTTGTGATTTTGTTGGTTCTCTCCTATCGTAGGTTTAGCCGGCTGGTTTTGGCCTATTCCGTTCTCACTTCGATCCACCGCACTATCCCCCGGGAACTGCAGAAGAAACAAACCAATAAAATTCCAAAAGGGCAAACTTAAAATCCAGGAGAAATGTAATATGTGACTCGATTCTTTTCAAAGATATATGACACAAACCTCTACTCTTTGCCTTAATAGAAGATTTCTTCCATGGGTTTTTTTACCTCCAACATGTACAATCATATCACTTTGCAAACAAAGGGAACTTCCATCTATCTCGCAGTAAAAGAAAGCTACATACATAGCTCCAAGCAATGAACATTAGTTTTAACAGAACTTATACAGATCTACTTATAAAGCAAAAGCTTTAAAATGAAAAGCAAATGACAAAAACACCACCTGCATACCAGGTGCATTTTCACATATATCACAGCGACGAACATCACTGGGATTTGCTAGACCCACCCGGACATGGCGGCCAGCAAGCTTATTGCACATATGAACCTGTAACATCATCCATAAACAGTTCAAAGCAAAGGTTCCATTTCCAGAACAATCTAGAACAATGTAAGAACTTAAATTCTAGACAAGGTTGAAAAAACATCCCTTCTCAATGCATGGGATTGTTCATAAACAAATTTGGAATCCCAGATGAGAATTTACACAGAAGAGACCACATAAAAGATCAATCTTGAAGAAGAAAATTTGGGTCTTTATTGGGTTGGATTATAAAAAAACCAAAATATCAAGTAAAACAATTGCACTAGCAAGAAAACTATATAAAAAAAAAACTTGCTTCAGACAAAGAAGAACAGTAGAGAACAAAAATCAAGCATGGGGTCCAGTTAAGAGCTAAAAAAAACACAACCGGGAGCGTGTAGTAGTAACACGACGAAAAAAACCGTCCTTTTCATCACAGGCACGGCAAAGAGCAGCCTCATCGGCAGCACAGAAGACAATAGCTTTCACAAGCGTCACAAAGGATTCTCATAATGCTCTCTCACTCTCATCCTCTCCCAATCAAAACCAGCAAGCGGCTATTGCTTTGTTGGTGTTTGGGGGAGTGATAATGATGATGATGGCAAGGACAATGACAAGGACAAGGATTGATTATTAAAAGGAAGAAAAGGGAAACAAGCTGAATGTTTTTCTTTTTCCTTTATAAAATAACAAGTTTTTGTCTACTTGGTTTTCTAGGACTAGTTTCTGGGGCTGAGAACCTCTTGCCTCTAATCTTTCCCACCAGTCACATATCTGCCATGGACCCAGTTTTTTCTAGAAGCCTAGCCATACACAGCATTTCTATTTTTAATTTGTTCCACAATCTACTTCGTTGTGATTAAAGTGTCAGCTGATATATTCTCATACAGGAAGCATATCTTGTTTCTCCCATGATTATTGTACCTAATTCCCCTGTTTTCTCTTTCTACATGACAAAATAGTTCCCCAATATTCCTTTTTTGCAGGATAGTATCCTAATCCAATCCAACTACTCTATTCTACATCTTTGGTGGTTCATAAATCCTATATTTTCAATTTAAAAAATGGGAAATTAGACTCCTTAAATGTTCTTTAAAATTGACTACAACTGTAACTAGCCAAGTTCCTAAGTGTTTTTACTTGTATTTAAAATCTACCTGGGGAAATATTGAACATGCTGAATTAACGATGTATATACAATCTCGTTGGCCCTTGCTATGATTGATTGGTTATGGTGGATGAGGACCATCGTTTGCTAACACCAATAACATTTTTATAATGTTTTTAAATCAAAATGATGTAGCAGTTAGCGGATTAATGGATGATTTAGACCTACACATCATTATATTATATTGTATTATATTTTTGATTAGTCAAAAATTAATTATTTTTATATTTAATCTGAATGAATCATTAAATTTCTTTCTTTGAATTATGTACATTTATAATTGTAGATACTAATCGATTCGAGTATTGATTGAGTTTTGATCGAATCGAACTCGAATAATTTATTATCTATCTCGTCTTATTTACAACTCTCTCTAAAAAGAGAAAGACAAATGCCAAAGGATGGCAAGTCCAATCAATGTATTTTAATTTTAGTACAATTATTTATGGTACAAGGTGGGGCTAATGAGATACTTGTGAGCTTAGACAACCTGCAAAAATACGAAAGTTCTTTAATCTATCAAACATTGCCATAGAAGGAAATGTTGTCTTGCATTGAACCAGATAAATCAATATTTGCGCCCCATGGTTTTTCATTTTCTGGTTAATACATTGAAGTAAAAAATTGTTTGAAATTTCACAAATAACAATGGCACTCACTTTTGTTACAGATCACCTGTTTCATTCTTTTGATCTATATCAGAGGCCATATTTCCAATTTAATACATTCAGAAACCTCATCTAGGATTACAAGGTATATATATATATATAACATTGTGATTACAACTTGATTAAGCTCACAACCTTTTGAAATATACTATAAACAATACAATTTCTTCATGAAACCAGAGAGACACCATTATAAGACCTGTAAAAAACAATTGCAGCATACAATAGCTGTAAAAGAAAGTGAAGTCGTTCACCGTTTTGTTGTTTTAAATTTTTTTGTGCACTTCAGAATGAAATGTTTAGCATTTCCATGCTCAAACTCTCCATCATCGCGTTCTCCATGAATCCGCATTTTGCCGGCGCGGTCTTGGTGAAACTGCTTAGCCTTGGTTTGAACGAGCAAGAAGCAAGAGGAATGATTGGGATGTTCTCACAGTTGCAGAGCTCAATCATGTACCCATCCGGGTCATGGAAGAACACCTGGTCGACCTTGTTCCCTTTGTCTTCGACCACCGCGGTGACATACTTCATTCCCATGCCTTCGAGTCTCCCCTTGACATGGCCAACATCAGTACACTGTCATCACACAACAAATAAATTGTTATAAACACAAGCTGCAGCAGGTTTAATTCCTTATACATTCGATTCGAATTCATATATTATACCTGGAAGGATATGTGATTATCCTTGGGATTAATCGGACGGGGTTCGACAACAGTATCGAAATCATCTATCGATGGATTCTCGATTAAGTGTATCCCAATGCCATAATTATACAACCTGCGTGAGATAAAAGGAGACCAGTCAGTCATTTACCATACGGTTTCATGAAAAACTGGATTTTTCTTGAAGAAGGTTTAAATTAAAGCAGTCAAGCTTACCAAGCTCCATTGAACTTGAAAGAAGAGGGGCGTTTGATGAGAACAAATCCCAAGACTTCTTCATAGAACCTCACGGATTCCGGAACCGATCTACACAGCAACGAGACATGATTCAATGAGAGAAGTGGCAGTGCCTCGTAGTTGTTTACTTCCTCGATCTCCATCATGCTTTTTTTCTTCACTCTTTTACACTTTGCAGCCGCTTTTCACTTTGCATGACAAGGTTACTGGCTTGGGGATCCTTTTATAAAGCAGAACATTTGGGAAGCATCTAATTTCCTGAATTCAAATCCAAGTGATTGTGAGGAACTTTCCGAGCAAATTCTCTTACTCCCAATCAAATGCATACTGCTTTGCAACGCGTTTTCTTCCCATATCATGAGAGCCAGAAATCAAGTTACGAGAAGAAACAAATTTGTCAGGTTTAGCTTGTTGCCTACAATGATGGACCGAGGAGTGTGGTCTGGCTGTCACCAGTTAAAAATTTTAAATTCATATATATTTTAGATATTTTTTATTGATAATTTATTTTCACCATTAAAATTTTATAAATTCGCACCTTATAAGTTCGCCTAAAATCCTATTTTCGTCTCTATAGACTAAGCCCTTGAGTGAACTACGCCAATGTTGAATACACTGTTAGAATAATATCTAAGATGAGATGCAAATTACAAATAGGGGTCATTGGTTACCAAAAACAGTGATATTGAAAGCTATATAACCAAGCAAACATCAAGCAAAAACAGAGCCCTTTTGGCCCTTCGAGGTATCCTAAAGACAGAAACTGCAAAGTTCCAAAAATACTGAGAAACTTCTTTGATGTTTCCCCGTTTTACACCACATGACATTATCAAATTCCCTTCACGGATATGCCTCACTCAAACGACAGCACAAGCTTCAAACATGACGGATCCTTCTTTTTCTGATAGACTTTTTTACCCTTTAACAATACACTTCTGTATAATCTGTATGTTAGTTGTTTGTACAAGCTACTATTTGTTGTCCACTTTCTTATGCATGCTATGTCCGCACCATGTAATCAGATAGTCTCAGTCCAGGAATTCCCTTCGAATCCTGTTCAACTTGTTGGATGACCATCCATGACTCCTTCCGAAAGCAAAACATTGTGATTAATAATAGAAAATATAAACAAATAATTAAATTCTATGAGAATTTAAAATTTTTAGAAGGACGATCGCTACTGTCAGCTCTCCTCACTCCCTCGGTCTATCCTCGATTCCAAAGTATTGGACAAAACTTCAAATCAGGTTTTTGCATGGCCATTTTTTATTATGAACGTTTAAAGTTTTATGTATATTTGAATATGCATTAAACATAGATTATTATGAACAAAGTTTTCGTGCACATGCATGGGCCTCTTTTCAACTTTGAAGGAAGAAAGAACAATGGTAAACGCTAAGCAATTGGTTTTCCTCAACACATGGGGTGTTACAATCATTAACGTTGAGCTTTGTTCAGAAATGGTCCCATGCTTTCTGACTGTCGTTTATTAGCTTCTGCATGAAATTCAAGGATACCTTATGAAGAAGGGTTACAAAGTCAGCAAGGAAGAAATACTACAAAACTTTAACCGCAGTTTTCTATTCTATTTCTAATGTAAATTGACAAGTTCTACTCCTTTTCTTCTATTTGTGTTCTGATTTCACTTCCTTAATCATAGTAGAATTTGAGATGGAAATCTACCATCGCCATTTGGAGCTTATGACTTTGCAGGAACAATTTAATGCAATGCCTTATAAGACTTGGTTTCAAGCAAATGAACTAACAATTTAACAGAGAAGTTTGGCAAAAAAAAAAAAACAGAATAATTTAGTTTGGCAAGAACAATTTAAAAATTTACTGCATATACATTTGGTAAGTGCTTAGACTCTAGACATTCAGTTTATACAAATTTGATTGCTTTCCCTTAGTTTATCCTTACTTAAGTTGTGAAAATGCCTAGCATTTGAAGCGAAATTCTGCATTTTCTGTTGATTATGTTTTATGTTAATGTCAGCTGCTGTATGATAGAAAATTTTACTGCGGAAGCCCTTGAGCAGGCCCCAAAATGATAGATATATTTTTCCTTCAAACCACTTTGACAAAGGAAATTGCTTTGCTTTTTGGACCCAAGATGGAGCGAAGGAAATTGCTCTCCCTATCTTTTTGGATACACTTCAAGGCTCTTTTGTGACTCTGTAAACAACTTCCTGATCTCATCTGTTGATTCGTAAACTATATCTCATCTGTGGATGACAGCACCCTTATCGCTACATAACAGCCGCTATTTCGACAGCGGATCGCTATTTAAATTCATAGTTTTGATTGATTAACCAATATTAGTAAGCAACTGACGTTTTCTTTCTGTTTTGGCTAGAACTTTGTTGATCTTGCAGAAGTGAACTTGCGTCAATATAATAGCTCGTCTCCCAGGGAAAACTCAGCTATTTCAGGAGTGATGGAAGTTGACAATGAAGTTATACCAAAACAAGTATCGGAGTCATTCCATTTGAATAAAAATATAGTTTTTGCATCTCCTGAAGAAAAAAAACATATTTATGTCAGCTGAAAGAGGAAACTTGTAGCTGCAGAAGCTTGAAATCTAACTTGGATTGGAAGTTGTAAAGCGAGTTTGATGACAGGTTCTCAGTGTATTGAGAAGGTAGAAGAGGATGACAGCCAATATGTTCCTTCGTATTCTCTGTGTTCTTTTTCATATGTATAAATAAAGTATAAATTATTTAATAAATTAAATATCATTTAAAATTTTAATATATATAGTGTTAATTTTTAAAGAAAATATTTTAAGGATTAGAGTATAAATGATTAAAGAAATTGATTAAAAAAAAAGAATTTTGAAAGAATACAGTCAGATGATTAAAATGAATAAAATATAAAATTAAAGAATTAAAATTGAAAAAAAAGCAATTAAAGTTGAACACATTCTACAATTAGGGGTCAGTATAACTCGACTCGATTTGAAAAAATTAATTTTTATTCAAATTTGAAATATTCTAGTTATTCGAGTGAACTCGAATTATCGATTTAATTTTCGAGTTCGAGTCGAGTTTAAATTTGAAAATTTCGAGTTACTTGAAAAACTAAAAATTTTGTTGACTATTTTGACATTTTTATGATTTAGTCCCTAATTTCCTTATTCCTTCAATTCCTCTTTCATTTTAAGTCCATTTTTACCAAATTTGAACTACATGCTCTAAACCATCGTAGAATACTTGTTTGCTTTCAATTCCTCTTTTTGATAACATTTTTTTTAATTTTTCAATTTAATCCTTCAAGTTTTCATAATTCCTTATTTCTTCAATTCATCATTCATTTTAAATCCATTTTTTTACCAAATTTCAACCACATGCTCCTATACCATTATAGAATATCTATGTAACTTCAATTCTTATTTTTTTTTACTAAAAAATACTTTCTTTTTATTTAGTCCATTAACTTTGTATTTTACTCAATTTGGTCTTTTGACATAAATTGTTTACAAATTCTTTCTTCCAATCAATTTTTTTGACTCTTTTATACTCTCGTTAATACTTTACCCTCAAAATATCTTCTTTAAAATATAATATTGTAAATATAATTTATAATTTTAAATTGTATTTGATATATTAAATAACATTGTAATGTGAAAACAATATGAATATATATATATATATATATATCTTATATTGTTAGAGAAAACCAAAAAATTGAAACCAATCCTTACCATATTACTATAAATAATTATAATAAAATTTGTATGGAAACTCAAATAACTCGACTCGGATTTCTTAAACTCGACTCATCTTGAAATTTTTTCAAGTTGAGTTCGAGTTACAAAATACAACTCGTCAACTTGAATAACTTGAAATTTTTTTATTCGAATCGATTTGATCGAATGTTTACCCCTACCTATGATGATGAGGAATATATGGTTCAAATTTAATCAAAATGACTAAAAAAAAGAATTAAGCACCTTTTATTACAAAAATAATCAAATGATTTATCTAAAGTTGAAGATAAAACAGATAACAAAATATTAATATTTAAGTTAACAATTCTTTAAATTTTAAAATTTAAACTCAATTAAAATTTAAAATTTGAATCACAAATTTAAGTTAATTTGAATAATATAAAGACTTTAATTTGAAGTAAAAAAAATA